CACTTCCATTGCCACCTGCAACCACTGTTCCTTGAGATTCTCCTCTTTGATATCGTCTCACTTCATTTTTTCCAACATCAGTGACATAGAGAGATCCATTCTCGTCCATTGTCAAACCCACACATGAGATGTTGGAGATGATTGTTTCTCCACTTGTCCCATTTCGACGAGGCCATCGAACCACTCTTCTATTCGAATAATCGCATATGATGAGACTATCTCTCTCTTTGTCGATAATCACATCTCTTGGGTTATCCAATTGATGATCTCCACTTCCTTGTCCATTTCCACCGGCAACCACTTGGCCACTTGTTGCACCTCGTTTCCATTCCACAATGCGATGATTTGATTGATCAGCAACATAGATTGTTTGATCATCATCAACATACAAACCACATGGGTCTGAGAGTTGATTGATTCCATTGCCTTTTCGATTTCCTCCAGCTACAGTGATACCACACTGTTGCTGTTTGGCGTTCTTACGCATGTCAGTCGATAGTGAGAATGCTGAAACTAATGAATTGTTTGGAGTATGAATGAGTATTTGCGAACAGACAATCGAAAGTGGACGATGAATGTTATGAATGGTTGGATGCTTGAAATAGACAATTTCTGCTTGGTCTGTTCGATTTTTGAGCTCCTTTGTAAGCATCGAAGATTGAGCTTTTTAAAAGTTTTCTCGATTGGACATTGATTTTTGAGTTGTTGCAAATGTTATTGTGACTCAAAATCCATGAGAAGTTTGACTACGCAAAGTGGACAAACCTATGCGAAAGATACTTTTGATTACTGGATATAGTTTTAATTGCTCAAAACTCATTGGAGTTTCCCATGCTTGCTGAGAGGAAACCTATCGAAAAATTACGTCTGACTTCTCAATAGAAATTTGAATACTAGAAACGTCTTCAAACTCTTGATTTTGAGAGATGTTTTTTGAGTGCCATTGATTGATATTACCAAAGCTATGTATACTTGGTATATGTTTCTGGTTATTTAAAAGAATATTTATCAATTACTGCTATAATCAGTGACATAATCAGCTTACATTGCTAGTCAATATTATCCTAATACAGATGTTTCTATTAACTTTTGAACTATTGAAAGACATTATGGAGCAGTATTTTGTCACTTGATCACGCAGATGAGTTGGTTTTTACACTGAGGAAACAAGAACAGACTTCTGTATTTCTGACGTATAAAGAAATAACGAAAAGTACTAAGAGGTGCCAAAGAATATCGACCAGTATATTAACGTTTACAAAAACTGGAAACAGTTTTTTCTAGCTGTATATATTTATTAAACAGAAAAAGAAAGAAAATCATGAGAAAATAAGTCAAATTGATGTTAATTTTTTTTTACTTCAACTTGAAAAATTCTACAAAATTCCGACTGCGTTGTGAAAATCTTTGTTTTCAACATGGACTCAGGTTCTAACTCCTTTAAATTTTGAAATTCCTTCTCATAAATCGGAGGCATCTTAAGTATACGGCGATATTATATGAATTAAAATCATAGCACTACCACAAATTAAATTTTATCTGAGACTATTGTAAGCAAATGGATACATAATCGATGTTGCAAAAGTTTCTGGAAAAGTATCGCTTCATCTTTCATTGACTAAAACATGTTTCGAAAAAATCAAAAGTACACTTGCAAAATCTACAGTAAAAGCACTTTCTAACTGTATATTCAAAAACTTTTTATCATGTTTTTTCTTTGAGTAATGAGCACATTTTAAAATAACACTAAAGCACGGACTCTAAAAAGGAACTCGCAACCTTTTGTGGTAGAAATAACTGATATTTTAGTATGTTTCAAATTTCTCTTATGCAATTCATCGTAAACTGTTGCTTATTTGTTCATTAGATTTTGTCGTGTAATCCTCTGCTAGAAATAAATACCACATTGCTTAAAGATCAATTCATTCAAAAGCAACGATTGCGATTTGTTTTCCATCGACGACATTTAAATGTTATTAAACGATGTCCTCGTTACTCAAAGATAAAACTTTTTTGAACAAACAGTTTGAAAAAACCTTCAATGAAGGTCATGTTTTAGTCGATGAAAAACGAAGTGACATTTTTCCAGAAGCTTTTGTCGCACCCGTTATGTTTACTTTTACAGAAGAAAAATTAAAGCTTTTTCAATTTCAAATCCTTTTCTTGATCAAATATATATTCGTAATATGTAGTAAGAACTTCTCACGAGGAGAAATTTTCAATTTAATTATAGAACAAGACGACAACCTTAAACTAGCACCTAAAAATAACATTAAATCCAAGAGAAACTCAGGACAATATTCAGCAAGCTTTCATAAACAGCAGCTTTTTGAGAAAAAAAAAGTGCCATTGAAACAACTTCGTCCAATCAGCAAAACATCAGCAAAAATACCAAGTTTTGATCAAGTATCAATAATAACAGAAAATCCAAGTGAAAAATTGGTTTAAAAAAACTTTTGAAAATACTGTAAATATACTTATTAAAGTCAGTGGAGATATTGAATGATACTAAACTTTTATTCGCAATAATCACTGTTAAAAATTAATCTAACGTAGATGTCTTTTATCGTTTTGCTACATTTCTACTTTATGGTATTTTTCGTTTAAATTGAGAGTGTTTGTTAACTAAAAGTTACGAAGTGTCAAATATAAATTCTACATGAGCAAAGGATACAATAGATTCTTTGAAGTTCTCAGAATTTGCTTCGGCTCTCACTTCACCTCTGAAATTTATTTGATTGACTCCAATTCCTACTCCGGTGAACTATGATTCTGAGTTTAGTATCTGCATTCAATTCAGCTATCAAGTAGGTCTCTGAGTGTTCATATAACCTATGAGAGTGAACCCCAGTGTTGCTCTTCGCTTCAGTAACATCAAACCACACACATACTAACATTCACCTTCACAATCTACACAGACAATCAGACCAGATACGCCAACCCACACTCTCGTTTATTCGATGGATCGTTGCCAGAGAGAAAAAGCAAGCATCAACAAGATCGACTCATAACATGTGTTAAGAATTTGAATCGATATTGAATTTTTGTACTCGATGATTTCCCCAATCGACGACATAGAGATTCCCGTGTCGATCGAATGACAAACCGATGGGCCAATTGAGTTGGTTCGATTGTCCTCCTTTACCGTTTCCACCAACAATGACACTTCCTTGTGTGGCTCCTTTAGGCCAACGCATGATTCGATCATTCCCACAATCAGCCACATAGACAGTGCCCAATTGATCGACAACGACTCCTCGAGGATATGACAATTGTGTAAGATCATTTCCTTTTTCTTGACCACCAGCCACGACAATGCCTTGTTTTGCACCTTCCATCCATTTCATCACACGATGATTGTTCCCATCAGATACGTACACTGAATGATCTAGATCGACGAATACGTATCGTGGGTAAGAGAGTTGATCGAGACGATTTCCACTTCCATTGCCACCTGCAACCA